CGAAAAGAGGTTAAATAGCTGTTTTCTAATCCTAAAAGTTACAAAAGGGTGGTACATTTGTATTAGGTAGGTAGGTGGATGGATGGATAGATAGGTAGGTGGATGGATGGGTAGGTAGGTAGGTAGGTAGGTGGATGGATGGGTAGGTAGGTAGGTGGATGGATAGGTAGGTAAGTAGGTGGATGGGTAGGTAGGTGGATGGATAGGTAGGTAGGTAGGTAGATAGGTGGATGGATAGGTAGGTAAGTAGGTGGATGGGTAGGTAGGTAGGGAGATAGATAGGTAGGTAGGTGGATGGATGGATGGAGGTAGATGGATAGATAGGTAGGTAGGTAGATGGATGGATGGATAGGTAGGTGGATGGATAGGTAGGTAGGTAGGTAGGTGGATGGGTAGGTAGGTAGGTGGATGGATAGGTAGGTAGGTAGGTGGATGGATAGGTAGGTAGGTAGGTAGAGGAATAGATAGGTAGGTAGGTGGATGGATGGATGGATAGATGGATGGATAGATAGATAGGTGGATGGATGGATAGGTAGGTAGGTGGATGGATAGGTAGGTAGGTGGATGGATAGGTAGGTAGGTAGGTAGATAGGTGGGTAGGTAGGTAGGTAGGTAGGTAGGTAGATAGGTAGGTAGGTGGGTGGATGGATGGATAGGTACTTTATTGATCCCAATTTGGGAAATGTCTGCATTGCAGCAGCATAAAAAACAAGGCAATAAGAGAAATTAAGACACTAGAAATAAACAGTCCAACATATTTCTGAAGTAGAAATAAAATAGCGTTAAAAAGTTACAAAATATACATGTGGAAATACAAATTTCCAGTAACAAATATAATGCAGGTTATTACATACATTAATTGTGCAAGAAATTGATTATTCAATATTAAATTGAATATAAATGTAAAATGTATAATACTAATTTCTTAACCAAGCCTTTTTTTCCACTTTATTTTCAACACTACCCTGGTTTGCTCTGCTCATGCACACCTGGCTGGATAGAAGGCTGTGTGAAGAAGGAAGATAGATGAATACTTACGTCACGTCATTGCAACAGCATTAGCAATTACCATGGGGTCAAACAGGCAGGTGTGTGTTATATAGGCTCACGCTGCTCTCTCATTTTCTGCGCCGCTCGTGGTTTCGCTTCTCATTTTTGCTCGAGTGAATTACGATGCCCTCGGGGAGCGGTGAGAAGACAACAGGAGAGAAATTACTCTTCTTGCAGCTCTTTCAAACACAGTTTTTTTGCAACTTTCACATTGCAGACATGGGTACTGGTGGGAAAACTCTGAGTGAAGGTCTGCAGAGACAGAAGCCGGCTGGCACGACTCAAAACCTGTTATTATACAAAAGCGGATGTCTCGGTGTGAGCGCTCGGCTGTCAGGTTGCTTTTAAAGATATCAAAATGTTGTGTTTACTTTTATGTCTTTGGTCATTTTTAGTTGGCATTGTTTTGTTAGAATATGAAAAAATACTATGAGAAATATTTGTTTTAACGTGAGTTTCGTATATGGCTAGGCAATATAATAATAATAATAATACATTTGATTTGTAAAGCATCTTTCATTGCTAATAGTAATCCAAAAATGCTATTGTAAAAAATGCTACTTGATGCAACAATATGATCTAATAATGTCATATGTATATAGGCCTAAGAGTAAAATCACAGATTTCTTCTGCAGAATTACTTTTACTTTAGTAAATTATGCTGATAAATCTTCTGTACTTTTACTTAAGTTAGATTTTGAAGGCAGAATTTTACTTGTAATGGAGTATTTTATCATTAATGTATTGATACTTTTACTCAAGTAAATAATTTGAATACTTCTTCTTCCACCTCTGAGTCAGACATGTTTGGGTATAAGAACATAATGAAAACACATTGGATTGTGGAACAGAAACATGAGCATTAATCTGCTTCAGTTTCAGTCTCCATGCATCTGAAAATACTTGTATTTTATTGATCCTGGCTGCAGGGATTAGCTCCCATTCAGCCTCAAGAGCATTGATACTTGTCAACCCTCCCGATTTTCGCGGGAGACTCCCGATTTTATTGCCCTCTCCCGGTTTCCTCCCAGGGTCATATTTCTCCCGCATTTCTACCGTTTTCTGACCAAATCAGATTTAGTCACGACTGTTTCCACTCGGACTTTAATACAGCTACACCATTGTTTGGTTTCCATGGTAGCGCGTCTCTTTAGTAGCGCGCGGAACTGAAAGTCTGAGAGGGTGAGGCAGATAGTCACAGAAAACAGAACAAGAATCGACAACTCGACCCTCTGCTCACTCCTTTCCTGTAAAATACAGGTCCAGCCCACAAATATGCTCCATCAAGGATGGTGCTTCAGGCCGCAAGGCAGTGCACTTACATCTACAATAACCTGTTAAACCCCAAGGTCCCCGCCGGCGGGTACTTTTTTATTTTTTTCACGACACTGTGTCTCAGGGCATCTTAATATTTAAGAACCTATGAATGTATTATACCAGATTAACTGGAATAATCTCAGCTAACTGAAGATACAAACCATTTTTACCAAAACAAAACACAAGTCTCATAAGAAGCATCTAAATGACCCCTGAGCGAAAAATGCTAACCTATTACTGCACCGATAATCACTGCTAGCTCCCTTATTACTTATCCTAGGTGCACATCCAACACTGAAAGAGATACAAACTCGCAACGTTATCAACAAAAACTTACATCAAAACAAGTGGCGCTAGGTAGCCCACAACGCTAACATGGCTTACCTTCGTCTTTGTCTTGTCTAAACTGGTCTTCAATGGCATTAAAACGATAAAAACGATTATGTAGTTAATCCATAGGTTAATCCAATGTGTCTGTGTCCCCTTTGAAATGTTCTGATAATCCATAAGCAATAAAACAGCTTTTCCGTTGCTTTATATCAGAGCAGCGATATTTCTCCCCTCTGCTGCAAGCTAGCATGTGCAGAGACGCCACCTTTTTTTTATTAACATGAGTGTGTGCGTGACGATTTCCCTTGGATTCTATTGGCTCTGACAGTTAGAAAGAGATGTCACATGTCAAAATCCAGTAGGGGAGCCAGAGATATGAAAAATCCACCCAAATGGCCCCAGAAGAGGTTTTATTTAGCTAAATCTGTCTAAAAATGTCAAATATCACTTGTTTTACATCAATCTTGATACAGGGTACTTATTATATGTTGTACTTTGGATTCCTAAAGCTTTTAGTCTACTAACCCATCATCTAAGGTTAGTTTTCACTATAAGTACAAAATATCTTTTGGACGGACACTATCATTTACAGTTTTTTACCATGTTCAATCTGAATGTTCTTTAAAATAAAAAACATCTATATTGAATCTGACTTTTCTACATCCAACTGACAGGTTTATCATTACTTTGAGAAAAAAGATTATTAATTTAACCCTTTTAGAAGGGAAGATAGGGTCATTTGTTCTGGGAATGTCATTTTCGAGCCTGAAACCTGAAAAACAGGCTCGGGGTTTAACAGGTTTTTTATTGTTCCCTTGATAAGCTCAACCACAACATTTGTGTCCATGCTGTCTTTTTCCATTTCCTTTTTTTTCTTTCTTTCTTGTTGTGCCTAAGGATGAATCTGGGAGCCAAACTATTCTGAGCAGTGATGTGTAATAAGAGTTATTACTGAGCTGCAGGTGCGAGATAGAAGCCATCGGACAGAGGCACCTGATGCACGCATTTGCATCCGCTCATCATTATTTATCTTGTTAGCACAAATATTCCAGTTTATGGTTACATGTCATCTTTTAGAGCAGTCTTTCAAACTTATGACCCCATGCCCTCATTTGCTCACTTTCTCCACTTGTCGTGTTGGAGAATTGCCAGCAGAGGGCGGTGCCGCTTTCAAGGTTATTTTCATTTCCAAGACCCTTTTCTTTTTAACCTGGTTTAAATGTCTATTACTCAACTGAGCTTTTGATTTGTTTTGATGTTGTTTTCCAAGCGAATAGGACAAAAATATGCAAAATGCATTACACCATGGCATATTCCTTCTGTGTGTTGCTTCTCAGCTTTACAAGGTGTCCTAAAGCAGGTCGCGGCAATTGATATTCGAGATGTATCTTCCTTATCTCTGTCTTTTTAAGATGTTTGGGAAATGTTATACCACCAAGAGGCCCTGAAATCGCTTTGAAAAACATTTGGGACTGATGATCCACTGAGAAACACAACAAATAACTAAACATCCAAGCAAATGCCAATTATTTTTAGGAAGAAGTTGTATCTTTGATGATTTGTGTTTATCTGCCAGCTAGATACAAACATGGCCTCCAGCTAGAATATCTCTATCTTGAGAATACCCTTCACTCATGCATTGTGGGACATCTTGTGGGTCATGCTACATTTTTCTAAGAGGACACTGGCCCATTTTAAAGAAAGTCTTGCAAATGTCACATGGCTCAGTTAGACGCTTGAGGATATAAGGTCTCATCATCAGCCACCAACCACGAGATCACAGGGAAGAGCATAAACACTGGGAATTAACAAAGAGGATTTCTGAAGCTGTAAGTGACTCATGGAACGACATGGATAATCTCCTAATTAGTAATGCGCTATCATTTGTAAGGATGCCTGAATGTCAGAAAGTTTGATTTGCTCTTTTCAACACTGTGTCTGAATTGCAGAAGCCCCAAACTGGATGGTTTAATAATTAAAATGCTGAATGTCAATGATGTTCTTTGTTTCAATGGAGATATTGTTTCTTTTGGTATTGCATCAACAAGTGTTAGTTTTTTCTTTCAGCCCGCCCACCCCTCTGTCTCTTCCCATCTCCCTCTCTGTATTGGATGTTCTGCCCTTGTGCTCAGTAAGTCCTTTGTTCGGCAAAGCATCCCTCACATAGCTAAATGCTTCACTGGAGACAGTACCCACTAGCACCTAGTTTGTAACAAGACAGAGAGTGTTTACTTCCTAAACCACCAAGGAATGAAGATTTGGGAGCAAGTGAAAGAGGATGGATTGGTAAGTATCAGTAACACAGGAGCGGAGTAATGAAAGCAGGGTGTTTTTGTACATAGGATATTTGCAACTATTTCTAATTGCAATGTGAATCCTGATACCTTCTCAAAACAGATCAACGATGACCTCCTGCATTCTTGTAGCTACTTATTCCTTGCAGTGCATATCAGGCATGCCTCATGGTAAGAAGTCTTATTGAGCTAGGGGAGTCTGATTAATACCACTACTGTAAAGGGTTTTCATTGTGGGCTGAAACTCGAGGCTGGTTACCTGAGCTCCTAGGATGACTCTCCGCACGCCAGCTGCCCATCTACGGAGAGCTCCGAGCTGGAGGAAATCCGCAGATCAGTCCTACTGGGAGAGCAGCTTAATACCAGAAGGAGAGGCTTTGCCCCGGGTTTCTCGTCCTCCACAGGCACCACGGCCCCAGAGTGCCATTGAAGGACGACAGCTGGATGGCTGGCTGGAGCACCTACAGAGAATAGAGAGGGAACTTCTCAGAGCCCCAGTTCATGATCAGGTTCCAGCTTTCAGTGATCGGACATCATCCATGCCTGCTCTTCCCCAAGAGGCAACCGGACGTGCCTGGAGACAGCCAGGGATCCCCTCTTTCAGCAGGGGTTCATCTTCATGTGGGAGTCCCAGTCGGTGTGAGAGTTCGCTGGGCAGCCAGGAGTCCCTCCAAACAGGGTTTATTTCTCCTCCAGAGCACAGAGGAAGCTGGGAGAGAGCTCATATGATGCAGGCACCAAAGAAGGAGCAGGCTCACCTCAGTAATATTTCTCCAGTCAAAATTGGATGGCTGCCAATCCAAAGAAGAGTGATGATGGTGGCTGATGCTTGCCACCAAAAGTTTTCGGACCAATCTGCAGGCCAGGTAAAACACAAAAAAACCTAACCAAAGCTTTAACATTTAACACAAAGGAAGGAAGTGACCAATTATATTTGATTATGCCTCCCGTCTTTAATATAAGATATATTTTGAAGCATTCTTGCCTGTTCTTCCATGTATCAACCTTTTAAAATGTGCCTTTCAAAGACCCTGAACTTATTTACCCTGGACTTGGTACTAACGTCCTCTCAGGCTGTGTGTCTTTCGTTCTGACTTGTCAGTGACACATTTTAAGCTCTGTAAGTCTGAAGGTAAAGCAGTGTGTAATGGAGGTGATGGTGCGTAGTACCAGGCAAGGCCGTGACTCAAACACACTACAGAGAGCCATTTGTAGTCAAGTCTCAGTTACCCAGGGCAAAGGCACAGCTCAGGCATCCTTTGAAAACCGCTTACTCTGCAGGAACTACACACATTTTCTAAAAGGTTTGTGACTCATTTGGAGCTGTGAGATTGAGCTTTGTGCCCTGAGAGGATGCAAGTCAATGTACAGAGAACATTCAATGGGTGTAGAGGCTATTACAGATAATATGACTTTCAAAATCAATAAGTTGCTGTGCTGTACCAGGGCTTCAACTGATCTGATGCTCAAAGCACATCCCTTCCCTTGTGACTCTTCAATTCAACCTCAGCACTGACTTTGCTATTATGTTCCAGTGCCTGGATTTTTAGGGGGTTTTTAAGGACAGGAACTTTATTTTAAAAAATGGGACAATGATATTCATGAGCGGGAGCCCTGGTTTATGTTCTAAGGAATAGCTTGACATTCTGGGGAAATACACATTGCTCTCTTAGCTGAGAGGTCGATCAGAAGATTGATAACACTCATGGCTGTAGACTATACAAAATATATTGTACCCAATTAGCGTAGCTTTGCACAAAGACTAAAAACAAGGAAGAATTACATATGGGGATAGCTAGCAAGTTTTTTTAATTGGTTTACACAAACAAGATACAATCTTTTAATTAGTGAGTATTAGAGTTTGTCTTATATGTTTTGTTACCTTCATGAAGAACCAAGCTACCATTTTCCATGTTTCCAATCTTTGTGAGGGGCTAAGCTAACAGGCTGCTGGCTTTCTATTTGTATTAGCTCCATGTTTACCATCAAACATGAGAGTGATGTGATTGTGTGATCTTATCTAAATGCGAGAATGAAAGTGAATACGTGTTTTTCCAAAAATATTACACTATTCTTTCTAATGGGCTGTTTCTTTATAGTTGAAATTGAAACAAGCCATCACTCCAACCTTTCAGAAGAATCGAACAGCAGCCAACAGGCACCATGGTATGTAAGCTCTTGATTTTTGCAGTATAACAAATAGAACTGCGGAAATTGTTGTGGACATACAAACCAACAGCACGAACTATAGTGCCGGACGGATCCTAAAATAATCTCCTAATACCAATCAAATCTCCATTATGCAACACTGATTTTTATGTAAAAGTTGTACCTTGAAGAAAAAGGTCAAACATAATGAAAAAGCATGAAGTTACTCTCTTGCACAACAGAAAATTGCCTGAACACCCAAAGGTTCCATTTCAATGGATGTTTAGTGCCTAATCAGTGCAGGAACAAATATGGCCGTGGGGTAACTGCAGGGGCTGGGTTGGCTAGAGGGAGAATAAAAAGCTTATTTCAGGGCTGACTAGCTATATAGTTTACCTGCCTCTAATAGGCTCCATGCAGCCCCTGTCCTCTTTAAAGAGTTCACACTGTAAGTGAACACTTTAAACAACCTTCTGCTCCTAAAATAAAATCAATTTCAAGTATAACGTCCTGACTGTTGTTCCAGTATTTAGGCAGGATTTCAGGTAAAGGAAAGGCGCTAGGTGAGGGAAAAGAGAAGGAAAGGGAGGCGGGGGGAGGCAGAAAGATAAGGAGAGATGCAGACTGATTGAAGAAGGAGCCCTGTTAATCTTTGAACATGGCAGGCCCATACTCTCTGAGTTTGATCTGAGGTTGGATCTTTCAGCCCTGTCCTTGTTTATACCAGAGATCATCCAGGCAAGGCTCGGGCTGCCTGCAGAATTCAAAGCAATCTATCCATGGCAGCAAGGAACTCTTATAGAAAAGGGGTGTTTCAAGTATTAACCTTAATGACATCATATACTGTAGGCTACACATTATTAGTTACATGCACAGGCTGTAAGATAGGATGAAAAGTATCATCTAAGTATAAAGTGTAACATAATGTAATGCTAGGTCTGATTATTTATTCATCAAGCCTTATGAAGCATGATAGCTTCTGTTCAACCCTTTAATATTAAAGAATAATTGAAGAAAAACTTGCATTTCACATGGAATACCTCCAGCAATGCCCTTAGATAAATTATAAATCTGGTAGCCAATCAAATCGGCAATAGATGTCACATTTTTAGTTACTTCACAGTGAATAATTATGCTACTCAGGTGCATCAAATTTGCCACGGCTGAAATCCCAGCAATGAGTTAGAGAAAGATGATCGTCAATAAACAAACATTTCTGTGGAGAAGTGCCTCCAAATATGTCTTGTTTCGGTGCTGGTTGCTTTTCCTCAGCTGTCAGTACATTTAAATCCACAATTCCACATCTGAAAAACAAATGAGACTATCAGAAATTCCTTCCACAATTCCTCCAACTGACTCGGTTACACTCCAGCTAGCAAATTATTCCACCACTTTCTCATTCCCTTTCTCCCTCTTTCTGGTTCTCTCTTTCTGACAACCCTTGCAGAATCATACTTGAGGTCCATTTGCAGACCCTCCGTGCCTTCTCTTCCACAAAAGTCACATTTACTGGACAAAATGGCCCAATGTTAATGAACAGATGATAATAAAATTGGATTTTGTGCTCCAAGGGGCATGTTTAGATAGCCAATTTCCACACATACTATTTAGATTAAACTTAATGGGGATGAGGAATAAATTGGGAGGGTTGTGACTTCAGAGGGTGTTTGCCATATGGTCCTGCTTCTTTATTTTCCGTCGGGATGTTAAGCTGCTGTTGATTCAGAAAAAAAGGTAATTCGAGCCAGGAAGTAATGAGAGAAGCTCTTTCTGGGGGCACAAGTTAATATGGGGCCCTTTACAAAGAAATGCATTAGATGTAATGGCAGCAAGTGGAACAATGTGAGTGAAAGAGACCAGAGGACCCCTATGTAGATACAACTTTTTGTTTTTCAGGTCTAATCACATTTTCAAAGTGGTGCAATTTTCACCTTGTCTCTTATTTTTTCACTTAAAATGAAAAATGGATTACCCACACAGCATTCGAGGGGTTATCCCAAAGTGAGAGCTAGTCGCCATGGTAACAGCAGCAGGTGGAAATGCAGCCAGACAAGCCGTCGGGCTGGCAATGGAGTATCAGTCAGGGCTGAGAGGCAGACCAGTGAAGTTGCTCGGCCTCCTGAGGATGCAGAGAAGTGGCTCTGGGGTTATGCTAGATTCACTTTACTGTGCCAACGTCAATTATTGACAGTGTCAACATTGACACACAGGAAGGACGGCCTAAGTTCTGTTTGTGTGTGTGTGAAAGAGAGAGAGAGCATGTCTTGTGAGCAATGTGACAGTTTGTTTTGCTTGTATACATAGATGGAGAGGTGGAGAGGAGTCACAACAGCCTAAGTGCTTTGGGTGTGAAGACGTGGCAGTCACCTGACCAAGAGTCTCACAAAATTCAAATGGTAACGTACGATTGTTTTACACTTTTTTTACATTTAGGTAGGATATCAGTGGGTCTGTGTGTGTTGGGAGTGCATAGTATGTCAGCCTGGACACTGATGTGACATTAAGTCTTCTAATAGTCTTATGCTTGATAACACCGTGCTCTTGCGCAAATTATTTTACATTCTTTTTCGCAAAGTATAGAAGTTAGGTTCACATTTGCTTATGTATTGATGTTGCTTATACTTATAGCATTTCTACAATGTTTATATATTTATTTTGTTAAATATATAATAATAATAATGAAGTAAAGAGAATAGAAAAATAAAGAAACTAAGGGCCTTATTTTACATCGATAAAAAAAAGTTGAAATGCACTCCTATTAAATATTTGTTGATACATGCAATAGACAAAAGTTTTAATTTTCATTTGGACTTCATTTAGTCTAATCTCACTTGTCTCTGGGACACCTAGACTCCTAGATTTTTCTGATCACTCACTTTTGCCAAAAGAGAGTCCAATAAATGGCCGTAAATAATAAATGGTGCAAGCCATTTGTTTAAAAGCTAAGGGAAATTACATTGATTTCAAGTGTAGCATTCCGTGGGAAAAAATATGAAAACATATTTTCAGATTGCATTACTTACATTTAACCAAAACAATTAAAATATGCTCAATGGAACTTGGAACAAATATTAGAAAATATAGCAGGTCAAGCTTTTATACCTCTTTGGAATTGCTCATCAGTCCCTGAAATAAAAAGGATAACAAAAGACTTGTGATCAAGATAAAGGCCGATGGCAGACTTATTTTCTTATGAACCTTATTTGCACAGATGTCAGAGTCTGTGTGCTGTCTGCCTGCTAAAAGCCTTTATCCAAAGCATTGCCAAATGAGACATGTTATGCAAATGAAAAACTACATTGCCTGCAATTTTAATTATCACTTTCATAATCTCAAGTTATTAAATGAGTGCATTTGTTTACATTTGATCGTCATAGAGAAAATGTATCAGTGGACTGCTGCAAGTATTTTAAATAATTTACTACGTTACTGTACGCCTTTTCCAAACAGTTTACTCTCTTTGATGAAAAGTGTTCACCACAAAGCGTCGTGCAAAAGCATGTTCAGAGGAAAAATCACATACTTTGTTTTGAAATGAGGTTTATGGAATAATAATGAATTAGAGATCAGGATGTTATGTTGCATCAGGGCAGTGGTGAAAAAAAGTACTAAAATATTTACTTTAGTAAAATTATCACCACAGTTTAAAATACACTGTTAAAATACACTGTTAAAATACCTATATTCAAAAGTACAAAGTATTAGCATCAAAGTTTTCTTAAAGAACAGAAATTGATCACAAAAGCACTTCCTTACAGCTCTTGAGAACATGTACTTGGTTACCATGCACCCATGCATTAGGGACAAATCCGTATTTCTTAATGTTCTAAAAAAACACCTTCAGAATCCTCTGGCCCAAGGACCGGAATCTGTGCATTTTTCTTGTTTTTCCATTTCTTTTTCGGATAGAGTCTCATTGTGCTTCTGTGAAGTCACGCTGTGTGCTGGCTTTGCCTCACTGTGTCAAGCATGGGGAGAGTCATCTGACTAAAGAACAAACAGCAAAGCCCTTAAGAAAGACAAGACACCTGACCCGCCGTTGAAATGTTCTATTAGAGATTATGTCATGTTGTCAATATGTCATGCCGTATCAAATTAAGTTCTGCTTCATTTTCTGTACTTGCCACACAAGAGCTCAATTGACCAGATGAACGTACTGTACAGCATGTCTGCTGTGTTGATTAATGACTAAACATTTAGCAGGAGGCATTAGCAAAAACAGGGTGGAATGGGGTTTCCATGCATAATTAAGTATCTTTATTATTTAAAATCTCTTTTATCCACATGCTGCAGGTGCCAGAAAAACAAAGCTTTCCTGCTGCTGAAGGGGACAGACCTGTAGGCTGGCAAGCTCTGAAGAGAGCCTGGAATACCAAGAGGGTGTCGGCTTTCCCTGGAGGCAGTCAGTCCAAAGAGTCCCCCATAGGGACAAGCTCAGACACCAACAGGAAGCCACCTCTGATGAAATCAACCAGCATAGACCCCCACAAGCCTCCTCCCCCACATCGAAACACTTTTGCTGATCCCTGCAAACCACACACTCTGCTGCAAGGGACAAGCAACACCGAAACAAACAAGTCACACGCGCCTTTGCACAGGACCAGCAGTGTTCAGCCTATAAGGGCAACCCCCCCACTGTTCACCGCCTCACAGGCAAACTCCGCTGTGACAACAATCATCCCTCAGAATAAAGCTGGCTTCTCCTCTATTTCCATCTCTTCTAGGAAAGTGTGCAGATCATCTAGTTTGCCTGGCCAAAACCCCTTTTCCAACTCCCCTTCTCCGCCACTAGCCCACCAACCCATGGACCCAAACTCCAGGCAGGTCACAGTGCTGAGGAAGGCCACTATAGTCAAAGTCACGGAGCACAGGATGACTTCCGGGCCTGTCATGAATGCAAAAAGCATAACCTCACCAACTAGCAACGCTTTGGACACGGTAGTGCACAGAAGAAAGGCTACCATCATCAAAGTAACAGAGCACACAGAGAGCTACAGTCCAGCCAAGGCAGGGGCCGGGACCCCGAGGCACCCGGAGTACAGACACAGCTACACAGAGGGAGTGTACAATGAAGACAGCATGTGGAGTGAGGGGAATCATTCACATCACCCTGTAGAATCCACAAAGTCGCCAAACTCCACTGTAGACACAAATACATCCAACTTAAACACAGAGCAAAATGGTGGGACGTTACACAGATCCTCTCTGAAGCTTTTTTTCAGCAACCCCCCTGCTATAGCAGCCCCCGAGGTTTCCCCACAGGCTGTTGGACAGAGATCTGGCAGGCCTAGCAGACCACTGAGCTGCTATGGCAATATATTTGGACACACTGAGCCAAGTGAAGACATTTTGAGACAACCAGCCATCAGGAAATGGAGCTTTGGGCTTCCACAAGAGACCAATATCAACCCTGTGAACTCTGACAGTGTCCTCAGCCGGCCGTCATCAGCAAACGAAGCGCCAGACGCACCGAACGGAGGCCAGAAAGAAAGATGGCCGTCTGAGAATTCAGAGAGGAGAGCGTCCCCCAGTCTGACTCTCATCCAGGCCCCGGGTAGGTTTCTCTTTCCCCCCTTGACAGTCTTCCTGTCAGCACACAGGCTCCCTTTGTCTCTGATCTCCATTTTCAAAGGATGGCGATGTCTAAATATACATCTCCTCTGCTGTGCTGTGTGTGTGTGTGTTCTAGCTTCAAGTTGTTGCACACCCTGCAGCTTTCTGGGGTTGAACTCTCAGGTTTGATATTGTCTTTCGAATGATGTCTTATTGATAGGCGTTATAAGATTGTACTGGATTGTTCCTTTATCTGCTGCCTTAAGTGCAATTGACACATATCTGCGCCAATGTCAAACAGCCTTTCTTTGACACAAAGGCCCATTGGTACCTACAAGTTTTCTCATTTTCACCTTCTTTCATTTCCCCCACACAACTCTTTGCATGTATTAGTCTCACTTTTTCGCTGACAGCACAGGGGAGGACGACAAAATCACAAGCTGCTAAACTTGGTGAAAATAAAGCATTATGATTTGTTTGGCATCCAGATCCTGTGATGTACTGTAGCTATAACATTTAGGTTTATTTCTTTGTAATATTCTAGTGAGGGGACAAAACTCTGTTGGCACATTCAGGGGCCAGTCCATGAAAGCTTTGTATTTCAGATGTAATGCTTGGTTTTTGGTTGTGGTTCGATAAACCAAAGCGAGTTTTAACGTAATGAGTTGTGTTCTACATTTTGGTAAATAGACTTTCTCACTGAGAATTAGATAAGAAGATCGATACCTCTCAAAAATATTAAGAGTGCTATTGATCTTCCTATTTAACTCTTGGCAAGAAAGTAAATATATTTATTAAATAAAATGTCAAATTTGATCTATTTAAAGTAAAGAGGTAATTCTCCATCAAACAAATGCAGAGCTGTTTGAAAGTGTCATTTGTCAAGTTTTATCTCAAGCCTCAGTTATTACATTTAACATCAAGATGCAAGTTATTTTATTTAATGCTTCAGCTGAGCATTACATGAGAAGATGATGTTGTTGCGTTTATCTTTTGACACTCCAGGATAAAAAAAAACTGGGAATTGAACGTTTTTCCATTAAGTCTGAACTCCTCATTTGGGACCCTGAGACAAGTCCTAGTTTTGAGACCACAGTTCTAAAGTGGATGTGAAGAGTGTGCAATATCCTCATAAGGAACAAAAAAAACCATTGTAATATGTTTAATTATGGGTATTTTTGGATTGCTGAATATCCAGGTAAAACATAAAATAAGAAGGGAGTATTTTGCTGAGTGTGTTTCTTTGTTCACGATGTCTTAGCTCTGTGTGAATTAATTAACTTCTTTATCACATTCATTACGAGAGTCATCAATTAATTAAAAAAGCCTGTAGGCAACATCATTTAAATGTAACATTTGATACAGTCAACCTTAAAATGAGGCAGGGATTAGTGCACAGCAGCCCAACGGCAGTCAGTGTCACAGCTTTACTGTCCCTTCACTCACGTTAAAGTCCTCTTGTGTTTCAGATCCCAGCTCCAATCAGTCTCAAGAGGAAGTGCTTGCCCTCAATGCAGCAGCCATCATAGCAAATATCAAACTCCAAAGACAACTTAGTAAGAAGAAAACCCCAAGTGACAGTTGTGAGAAGGTTTCTGCTGCGTCACCCCAAGGAAATACAGGTATCATAACTTCTCTCCTCCCCTAATTGTAATCAGAATTTCTCACCTTATAAAACATTGATCTTTGTTACAATTAGCTGACAAGTTTGCAAGCCCAACACTTTGTTTTCAGAGCTTCATCCTTCATTGAATCGATAACAGATGTAGTCAAAATGTCTCGGCTCTTCCATACTGTGAATATTTGATTGATACCATGAAGAAAATATGTCATGGCAGGCCCAGATGGCTTCTGAGCCCAGACATCTAAAGCCAAGGCACGTGTAAATGAAATGCAAATAATTTGATTTTCTTGTTTGTGATAGATGAAGGGAAATGTATGAAGCCACATCCAGATCAAAGAACAATCGGGCACCACAACCAGCCCCATGCTGCATTTGTTTCACTGAGTCCTGACGCTGAAAGGTCACCTCAGACTATTTCTCTACAGGTAAGTTCAGATGTTTTTTTTAGCAAATAAAACAATTTGATTGGGACTTTAGTTCTCAAAAGAAGAATGTTATGTAATAGATATGACAGACAATGTGTGTATCCCTTTGGAACATTGCAATGTCTAATGCCGCATTCACACGCTCTCTGGTTCATCCCATGTGAAGTTGTTCTACTGACCTTGGTGTTCTATTATTATGACTTATCAATCGTTGCTCTGAGTATTTTAACAGAGAAGATTCATGATGCTATCCAAGTATGCTTCTTTTAGCTTAAATATGTCTTTACCTAACTTGTTTTTAGGTTAAATCCTAAGAAAAATAAATATTCTAGGTCTCTCTACCTTAATAGCAACTAACAGTTTCACACTAATTTCAAATTACAGATAAGCAAAAATAAAAAATATAAATTATAGTGATTTAATAAAGACACATTTTAACTTTTGTCCAGCATGCTTCTACATAATATGACATGAACTGCAAGTCACACCAAAAAGACTCCCCATATTTCAGAGAAAGTGGTGTTGGATGTGAATTATCTCAGTCTATAACTCACTTTTATAATTATTGTGACGCAACTTGAATGCATCTTGTTAGTTACACAGGTTGAAATCAGTACAACCAAAGAGTCTTGAAAACAGTTTGTTGTTTTTAAATCCCCTTGCTGTTAATTATTTGACCGGTCAGATTGATATCAACCCCATTTGGGGATTTTGACCCTCAGGCTGAACACCAATTAAAGTACACTTACTGTAGGTGTCAGCAAAAGGGAATGACACATTTTTACTGGCTTACTTTGGAGTGTTCCAAGGGGTGGCCCAGAGCTATATTGCAGGGGCAGTTGGAGTGGGAAGTTGGGCTTACGTGTTTTGTCAGAAAGAGCAATATGTTTCTGGTCTTGGCAGAACGCACTGCAGAGGTCCAGACCGGACTTCATCAGTCGCTCCCAGGGAAGACTGCGAGAGCTGGAGCGACGGGCTCAGGAGAGGAGGGGGCTGGCAGGTTCTGAGGACCCTCGGTCAGACGCCGCTGTCGGGCAGATGAGAGCCCGCAGTGGCCGCTGTATCTCTCTGAACGGTACAGCACCACCCTCGCCTCACTCATCAGCTGCACTGCTCATTGTCATGCTGCAGCTGCCACATCATAATCACACACATACAGGCACACAACAAACAGCAAGCCAATTCAGCCAGTATGTGTTGTTTTTAATGGTCCATATAGATAGATAGATGGATGGATAGATAGATAGATTAGTACTTTATTGATCCCAAATTGGGAAATGTTTGCGTTGCAGTAGCATAAAAAGACAAGGCAATGTACATAAGAGAAATTAAAACGCAATAAATAAACAATCCAAAATATTTCTGAAATAGAAAGAAAATAGCATTCAAAAGTTAAAATATATACATGTGGAAATACAAATGTACAGTAACAAAATATAAAGCAGGATATTATATATACATTAATTGTGCAAGGAATGGATTATTAAATATTAAATGTAATATATATGTAGAAGTGGGAGTTTAAGTCCAGTTATCAAGAGAAGCTATGGAGCAGAGAGTTCTCTGCCAGCCAGAGGTGATTTTTATATCAAAATTTTTTGGATTTAAATTGTGTATAGGTAACATTTTGCTTAATTATATACAACGTACACATTCATTTTTGCTTTAAGAGTTGCTAAATCCACTACAACCCTCTTCTGTAAGCCAAAAGTAGTTGATACACTACGACTACTCAAACACCACATTTCAATGTTGTACTATTAAGTTTAGCAATTATTTAACAGATATTGCATAGAAAAGCTTAATCAATTATAAAAAAATTGTAGAAAACACTATAAAAAAAACAATTTGTTATATTTGTGATTGATAACATAACCGGCCATTACATGAATAGTGTAATAATAATAATAATAATAATAATAATAAGTACATTTTCAGCTTAATATAAAGTTAAGTCTGCTTTTTATGGGAAAAAACATGAAGGAGAGAAGGAGCGAGAGAGCTGTGACTAAATATAATAAAAGCCACTTTAAGTAAGATGTGAAAAAAATTGCTTTATTTCATTATATATATATATGCAAGTGCTCCTCTATGAAATTACAAGGTTATAGCGTGATTTGATTTCAGCAAAAATATTTCCATGACCTTCACATTTCATTAAGCTCGCAGCGCAGTGTTATGTTTGGTGAGATTTTCACAGGCAACAATAAAGAATGTAAAGATTTGTGACAGTGATTGTGTAGCTCTTACTGCACTCTAGTGGCCAAGACGGAAAATACACCAGTGGGCAATGACTGCTGGGAAAATGGGAGATTTCTAAATCACAATTTCATAAGTGTTCATGTACAGTATACCGGATTTTGGAACCTCAACTTTCTTGCATGATAATAAAATTATACGTTATAAAATATCCTGAGAAGGTCCTCATTTAAACATGTTTTCTCTTATTGTTGTGTGAGAGGAGGCTTTCAGTCTGCTCAACATCAGGAAAAGCTAGACTGTCATGCTCTTGAGCCTTCAACTCATCAGCACTGTGTGTGTGTGTGTGTGTGTGTGTGTGTGTGTGTGTGTGTGTGTGTGTGTGTGTGTGTGTGTGTGTGTGTGTGTGTGTGTGTGTGTGTGTGTGTGTGTGTCCGTTTCCAGATAACCTTTTAAAACCCAGAGATAGAGCCATGACTGGGAGAGAGATGCAGCTGAGATCTAAGCGGTGAGTGTCTCCTCACCTCAGCACAATGTCTGATGCCTCTTCTTGTAAGAAGATGCATCCTTATCTCTTGTATTCCTTTCATGTGTGAAGGAACGCAGAGCCTCTATCGTTGACATCTCCTTACAAAACATCCTCTGCCAAGACTTTTGCTCTACTTCTGTTTTTTATTTCCCTTCCTGCCTCACTCGTTTATGTTTTTGCTTCATGGTATATACAACCATTAGGAAGTAGTTTTAGATTGAAGTGTTAGACTGTGGATTTATACAGAATATGTTTTCTTTACTTGCAACTCTACCAACAATCATAAAAGGCACACATTATTTTGTTACAGAACGCAAGGAGAGGGGAAGAGAAAAAAAGAGGAAGAGAAGAAGAGGGAGGTGTGTTTGACAAACAGACAGCGAGTTGAGCTTTTCAAAAAGGTAATCTCTACATCTCTTTTACAAAACATTGATCAATAAAACCCATTAAACCTCAATAACCCGCTTCTTCGAACCCTCATCTATGTATGTTTATTTATTGTAAAGATGCCAGATATACATTTGGTGAATACGTGTATAAAACAATGCATCAAGATATTTGGAAAGTGTGTAGAATAAGATGATTTTCAAAAATGTAGGTGAGGAATTGTTTTGTATTAATGGGTGTAACTAACAGATCTAGATGAACTGCATTATTTTAAACAGACTAAGTATTACGTTCTCTTAGTATTTGAAGCACCAGGCTTGCCTATGATGAACTCCCTGAGGTTTTTATCAAAAGGTATATGCAGAAATGATGCACTGAATTCCATTAAAACATAAGCATGTTACCTCCAAAGGGTAACATTTAGTAATGGCCAAAGTGTTTTCCCCTTTCCTTTCTTTACAGCAATGCAGCTGTGAAAAAGTATGGCTTTTAATTTGCTTAGCAAGTCCATCATACCTGGAAAGAGTGGAAATATATTTGTAACCATGAAACCCAATGAACAGTAGGTAAATTCGATGTATAACGCATTTAAGGATATTCATCTGTTGAGGGGGACATGTTGGCCTTGTGGATTTATAAGTGCATTAATAATGAGATACAATATCTGACAAAATGATGAGTGATAAGGGCATTTTCCGCTTTAAAAGGGATATGATAAGTACAATTGTATTGTGCACACATTAGATTGGGGAACTTGTTATACAGTTTATATGATATGTAATATTTTATCTTTGTTTTGCTGAAAAAAAGTTAATAAGGGATGCAACTGCAGGAATAAAATGTGTTTATTTCTAAAAAGGGTCACATTGAATTGAATATTTATTCCTTTGAGGGATTTCTTATTGACACTGAATTTGCTTGGAGAACAATTACCTTATTAGTCCACTAGATGTCGCTGTTGTCATACTTTTGCAATTTTCTTGAATTTCTCTGACTAGCTTGATTAGAAAAGTTGATTAGAAAAGGAAAAATACTTCCTATGCATCTGAAATGGCTGTTATTCCTTGATTTTCATTATTCAGTGAATATCACCCAGGACAGTTTTCATTGCTGTAGGTATTGTAGCTGCTCTCTTAAAACACTCTATACACCCTTCTCTCATTATGGAGAGAAACGTGAACAGTGTCATTGTGCTGAGTGTATGAGGCCTGTGTTCAGTGTGAAACAAAAGGCCCTTCAGTGGCAGAGAGCACTACAGTGCAGTGCCACCATTCAGCAGAGCTGCACCCACATGCAGCTGCTATACCCTCACTGCTGCTACAGCAGATAACACCGGGAAGAGGGGCAGTGCCAAAGATCAAGCAGGGTCCTGAAAAAAAGAGTGGAAACCTGAGTGTGTGGATAACAAGACAGCAGGCTTCAAAACTGTTTGAGTGCCTTCTCAAAAGAGCCACATGTTTTTTGTGAGGACAAGAGCTCAATAGCCACCAAGTGTTTTAACGATTTGATTTCTTTGTTTTCTTATTACAGAAACTGTTGGATCAGATTCTTCAAAGGAGCATCAGCTGAAAGACGATGAAGAGATGATGTGACAAAGCCTGTAGCATTGCATGGCAGAAGTGACCTTTGCCCCTTTTGACAGTGCTGAACATAATATGATGTCCTCGTTTGTTTCTCTCATGTATCATCATTATTCAAGTAACAGAGTTTAACATCTGTTTTTTTCTATACAATACAGCTAAGGCAATCTTTCCGAATGTCCAGACAGTCATTTAACATCGCTTAGTGTACCTCCGCTTTGAAGGTTTTTCCAGAATTCTTCTTCACATCTGGACAAAAAACAAAAAACATGTCCAACATGTGTTGTACAAATCCAGCCATAAGATAATGATGTCCTTCTTAAAAATAGCATTTCAAGACACGGTAGATTTATAGACAGGGTTATCTGATGCCTTAAGGATCTGGAAAATCCCAAAATGTGTTGTTAAAAGACCTTCTGCATGGGTTTTTTGAAACATTGCCATTGATCTGTCTTTTTAGGAAAACATATGCTTTTCCCTGTGCATCAGCTGTTTTAAAAGCCCTTGTGCCATGCAATTACAAATGAAGATGGCAAAAGGAATGTATGAAGTCCTGTCCTAACATTCTGTTTTGGTTAAATACCACATTGAGCCTCATAAACGCACCGACTGATTTGCTTTTGACAAAAAAACATTCATGTGCTGTTTATCGCTGTTATCTTGTTTTCACTTGATTGCAAATTGCCTTTCTTTCCAGAATACTTCAAGTAATGGGATTCAGAGTAAGCACTGATGTCCTCACACAACCACTTTCACATGATCTCATGTGATGTGGAGCAGTGATCAGAAACTTTCATTATGCTTCTCAGTCCCTTCCAGGACACTCTTTAGCCGTCATCCTCATTATACAGCAAATATGAAGCCTGAAGGGTGCTCTGCTATTATCCAGTGCCAGCTATGAGCTGTAAGACCGTGTGACCTCTTCTCACTGGAAATGCCCTGTTAATGGACAGTGCAGATTTGAATAGAGCTTTTGTCCCTGTCTTTAGTCTCATGATGGACTAAGACGCGCCATTTTGCAGATTTAAAATGTGAGTGATCCAAAGTGAGAGTGCTAAACAACATTATGGAGCTGGGCATAAATCAAAAGTGAGATGTGTGAATATTTATTTTAAAAATAACAGACGCTCTTCATTATTCCTAATTGTTTTTTTTCCTCATTAGCCTTTAAGTCAGAGATCCTTCATAGTCCAACTGTTTCATCCATCTACATTTACACTGATGTCTTGGAGGAGAACGATGATCACTACAGTTTTTGGTGAATTCTATTCCATGTGGGTGTTTTGGATGAGAGGAGATCATTTATAACAGCACTCATGGTTCATAATTGTTCCTCTCTTTCGAAAATGAGTAATTTTAGACTACAGTAAAATAAGACGTCTATGAACCATGACTGCTGCTTAGAGAAACAAGTTGCTGTGTGTTGTTTTGCTATTTAACTTCACAAAGACAGTTTCACTATGCAATGTCATTGTTTAAACGTCAACTATATGCTATATTGGAATGGAGTTATATGTTTTCTTTTATATATTTGAGTTTTCTTTTTACATGTTGTTTATTTGTATTCCAAACAAGACTATAAATGTTTTTCCAGGAATAAAAAGTTCTGTTTTTTCACAAAGTGCATTCACATAATAACAAAGATTAGATGGCATCATTTCCATAAAGTTAGGATTTATTATTCACTATTATCTGTCTTTGCACACTAACAGAAATCCCTATTTTACTGCCTGCGTCTTATCTTCCTTCAGGCATCCTGGTTCTTAAAAAGAGCAAAAGATCAGCTCTTATTATCAGCCTATAGCCGAGAGTTGGGTTCCAGTTAAATTAGTATGCAGGGAAATACTCCTCAGTTTGGTTTTATTTCGATTCATATTAAATCCTGAAAGAAGACTGAGAAATGGAGGTTTCTGAGAGTAATGACACGAGGCTGCACCCCGTAGTTCCTATTTCAAAAGGTGAAAGCCAACAATTGGATGTACTGCTGTGACTTCACCTTACATCGAGCATACCAGAGTTCTCCCCTGTTGGGAGAGAAAAAGCTTTCAGTAACTCATCCCCATGTGGACACTGGACACACCTGTCTGTTTTCTGACTGCATTCCCTCTTGAAGTGAATGTCTATATGGTGGACGGCCATAGTGTCTGAATGGGCCGTGTCCATATGTAGAATCCTTCAGTGCATCTCATTGCCTTGATAACAAGTATCGGCTGTGAGTCTCATGAATATATTTGAGTCAGATATCTTATATATATTAAAAGTCATACAACAGACAGATTATGCTTAGCTTACTCTGACTCAACAACCAAATCATTTTGTTGTGCATACATTTTGTAAAAATGTATGCACAACAACAACAGTGAGTAACATCTGTGAGTGGGGGGCTGTGTAGGCCACATTATTCAAATGTACACTCAGTGTGGGCTGCTTCAGCATGTGTGGGACTATCAGCACATTGGGTCAAGTTAAGTAGTGGATACCAAGAGTCAGGCCGGAAATTAAGTGGTATGCTTTCAAAATAAAATGCTGGTTTCACCCTCGCTTCTGCAACCTTCAGATAATTGTGGCAAATGGGTTAAAAGGAATTCCTATTTTTTGACTAAAATGATATTGATTCAAGGTCCACTTATTTGCTTATTTGGGATATCCACTTACAAGTTAAGTGACAATGCAAGGTTCTTTTTCCCTGACCAAACATAATGTGTATTCAATCTTTCAATTTGCAATAATATGAATTTTAAAAAAGCATTGAATCCTCAGTTTTATGAAAAAAGATATAAAGAATATATTTGACTCTAAATATTTAAGTGAAGGAAAATAAAAACTACAGAAATGAGAGCCACGTAGTCAAACGGGCAAAAATATAACTTAATCATTTTTATTTTGTCAAACTCTAACTGTAAAGTCATACACTTTCATAATACAAAATTAACCTTTAAACATTTTAATTTAAGTACATTTATCTTAGGTTTTTCTAATTTGTATCGTACATACATAGTTTAAAAGATGTGTAATGTGGCGTCTTTATTGTGAAAGGTCTAACCGGATGTTGCTGTTTGTTTATCCGGTTAGCTTCACACTGCTTTTGCTCGATGATTAATAATAGGCGCGGAAGCTGGCTCTAGGACCTGGCGGAGCGATTCATGAAGCACATGGTTCCTACTCATAAGACAACACTTCTCGCCACTGTCGCGAGTAATTGCCTTGCAATTTATGTCATTTCAGTGGGCGTCTGATACAGCAGCGGCTTGTGTATTTGTTAACATTTATCCCGGTCGCTCTTCAATTCCCCTTACATTTCATACTTTTTCGCGGCTGCTCTTTGACTTGGACGTTTGTGAATGGGAGTTGAATCAGCTGTCCTCGGGATTTCCTAAGACACCGCTCATTTACTTGATCATATTTCAGGAAGTGGGTTTTATTTTGGGGGGGTTGCTCTTGCACATCAGCTGTTGTTGGATTGTATGATGGTTGCTCTGCAGTGAACCAGTTGGCCAGTCCCGTCCACGCTTCAGCCGGGCATCATGAACCTCTGGAGTCTGAAGTTTGTCATTCTGACAGCACTTCAGGCTTTATCTGTCGCTTTGTGTGACAGCATGCTCTCCACATCTGCTGAAGGTAAGAGGCGAGGATGTATTTGTCCTTTCCTATTATAGGCTTTCAAAGATCTATGTGCAAATTGATTGTATTCTTAATTGATTTTTCTCACTTTGTGATTGTCAATACAAAAAAGAAGAAGTGTTTTCACGTGGAAACATCATAGAACGATATATATATATATAGTAATGAACCTCTGCATTTGTCATTGCGTGCATTCTGCAGTGTCTTGTATCTTCTATTCTTCATTCATGTCTCCCCTTTGGCTGTTTTTGGTATATCATGTTTTATGAAAGCCTGTGTTAGTACAGCAGACTTACAAATCCATAACACATGTTTGGGAAGAGTCAAACATCCCCAGTGCAAACAAGCTTTCTAAATTCATGGCTTTCTCTCATTCTCTCCATAGATCTCTCTGTGTGAAAGGCATAACATCATTTATTTTTTAGCTCTCAGTCCATCCAGTGTGTGCACCTCAGAGGAGAAGGCACGCTGTATAATTGATGATGCTGAAACTCTCTTTGGTAATCAGGGGTAGCACTTGAGGCGTTACGCTGGTGCTTTAAGCATACTTCAGTTTTTCAAGGCACTTCAAACATACTTCAAATGTTCAATTATGGACGAATTTCCAGGATTACTTTAGTGCCAAATACAGAAACCAAAAATCCACAATGTTCGTTTGAAGCCCGTAAATTGCAACCGATTTATTGTGTTTATGACATCCTAGCAAACAAATGAAAGATAGCTGCTTGAGAGCCTTGGGGAAATTTCTATATCTGCAGCAGTGTGTGTTTGTGTCTATTCTTGTGTGTCTCACACTGGGATTGCACCCCTTTGGGCTGTAGCTCATGACATCTCCATCACGTGGCCCATGCCCTATAGGTGAGATTCAACATGAACACTACACAGTGGGCTATGATCAACAGCTTGAGCATTCGCATACAGAAAACTTTTTACATCTGCCTGTCACGACACACTCACTGTTGAATCATGGGAATTAATTACCAGCCAGGGCAAATGTGTAAAACTGGGATCAAAGAGTGAGGAAGTTGTTAATTTATTCATCAACAGTTCGGTTGGCCTTGATGGGTTTGTTCTCTCGGATTCAGGCTCCTTAAACATCATCATCGCCAGTTCAGTTGTGTGTGTGTCTGGGAAAGTCTGAGCCCATCTTTATTGGCAGGATATCATCTTGCTTGGGGGTAATCTGGACTGATTGAGATAAATGGATGGAGGGAGTGGTGTGAACAGGTGCACAGGAGATGGGATTCTGTTTAACTGACAAAAAGAATCAAAATGTGCAGGGCTATGCATGACTATTTCTAAGTGATGAAACCATTGGTCAATGTTCAAAAATGTAATCAGCTATAGAGTTGGGTGATATGGCCATTATGTTCTACTACGATGTGGGTAACTTCATATCTTCATAATGAACATAACGGTTTTAAGTGAGCTTAGCCTATATCACAATAGAAACAATGAAGAAAATTATATATATGACATACATTTTAAAATAACTTTTACATATGCAGTACAGGGCTTGGCCTTCATTTTTTTTATTATTTAGACCTACTTTGACAATATTATTGTTCGATTGTTGAAAAAAATCCGTTTCAGCTTACTTCATGTCAAGCATATTGAGTGGGAATCATTAGTTCTTTTTTTTGTGCAAGTTTTTACTTTGTCCAGACTGTGCTGACTTTGACATTGCTGTCAGGAGTTCAAGGCTGCTAAAAAAGAGGGAGTACTTAGGCTCCATGCAATGTCATGTTTGCATATATATTTCATGACACCGCCGCCAGAGCCTTATTGTCAGTTCTCCTTTCCCTGACTGTCTTGTGGACGTTTCTGTTCTACCTAGGGATCCCTAGTGAATGACTTCCACCGATGGTTGACACACTTTAGTGTCAGCCAGTATTTAATAGCCAGCTGTACTGCTA